AGTTGGCAGTTCAAACGAGCGACGTTCAGACTGCCCCAAACTACCTCGCAGCGGGGTTCACATACTCCTCATCCGGCCGTTCAAATGAGACCTCCATGTACGCCTTTGGAGGATTGTGTCCATTCGTAAACAGCACAGACCAGGCTTGGATATCGGCAGCAAATTACTCTCAGTCGATGGTGGCTTTAAGCCCCAGTCCCTACTACAGCAACAAGTACAACGCAGCCACCACAGGGAAGCGCGCACCACCGGTCGCTGAAGCGGGCATGGCCGTCGTGCCGCTTCAGGCTACCTATTCTGCCGATTCAACCGGGAAACAGCAGGATTTCCTTTTCGTTGGTGGCCATACCAGACATGCGTTCCTCAACATGTCGACGCTTGCTATTTTCTCGCTGCCGCAGCAGAGTTGGAGCTTCGTTTCGACCTCGGACAAGACACCAAAGACTGAACTGGCTATTCGAGATATGGCCTCTGTAGAACCCCGGTCTGGTCATACAGCAACTCTCTCGGAAGATGGAAAGAAGGTGTTTGTGCTTGGTGGCTGGGTGGGCGATACGACTGTCCCTGCTGATCCGCAATTTGCGGTTTTGGAACTCAAAGAAGGGTTAGGTGGTGCCACGGAGTGGATTTGGACGACTCCTTCTTCTGAAGGAAAGGGTATCACCGAGGGTGCTGGCATCTTTGGACATGGAGCCGCAATGCTACCAGGAGATGTGATGATGATTTTTGGAGGATACACCATTCCAAAACAATCATCAAAACGGGCTGCATCGACTGCGAACTCGCAATTCTACCTCTATAACGTGACATCAAATAGTTGGGTTACGTCCTACAGCAACCCTGCAGCCAATTTCTCTACATCCTCGTCGAGTCACAATGCCAGTCTTTCCAAGGGCCAAAAGGCTGGCCTTGGAGTCGGTCTGGGTATCGGATGCCCGGCTGCTTTGGCCCTTGTATTATGTGCATGGAATTACCATCGAAAACGACGTGTACGCGGAAAGCGAGACTCACAGCTTCGCGAGTTGGCTCTTGGAGCGGAACGGGCTCACTTCTGGGGTCGAGATGACCCTAACCAGGCAAGCAGCATTCGAAGCTCTGGGATGAGCGAGAAAAGAGATTCTTCTGTCTACCCTTGGTCTGCAAACCGCAATGCAGCCACACAGCCCAACTGGAACGACCAGGGCGAAGGCACGGCAGAGAGAACTGGGCTACTAATGGATCCTCCCAGTCCAGTAAAGAACAACCGAGCTCCTGTACCTGTGAATACGAGACCGTGGTCATATCGTATGCCTGGACACAGTGAATTTCGACGCAGTGATGCTACCAGCGATATCCACCCTATCGATGAGCGCGAGGAGGATGAGGCTATCTTCAGAGAACGCCTAATGGCAACCATTCCCGCTGGGAATGGAGCTACAAAAACTGCGGAGGCCGAGCCTGAAGACCCATTCTCGGATACTCCCTACGCAACTCCTCGAAGCACCATCTTCGGCGTTGGTCTGGGTCCATTCTACAGCCGACGAAAGGATATTGGATCCGTTGATCCCGAGTCCCCAACCAAGAGCGAACGAACACAAACGAGCCTATCCGATGCCTCAGCTTTCTCCTTCGCCTCTTCTCAACCAGTAGGCAAAGTCTTAACAGCACGAGCCATGGTTGTTGACAGACCTGTAAGCTGGGCAAGCAGCGGCCGTCAATCTTTCGAAAACCTCGCCGCAGCATCAACACATAGCGACCCCGACAACACTGCCCCATCTGAGAAGTCAGTCTCAGCGGACTCTTACTCAACAGCACAGACAACCATGTCTCAACGCCAAGCAGAGAACGACTCCCTTCTCTTCGACGCCCTCGACCCAGTCAACCCCTTCGAATCATCTTCCCCTTCAAAACTCCGCCGGGATTCTAGACCCAGGGCCTCAGAATGGGTTATGCAAACAATGCGCCGAGCTCTAACAATGACCCGCGGCGGCTCGCCATCCCAGCGAGACTCCCACGAGACAGCCCCACTGGCTTCTGGCATCGACCGCCGCAGCACAGTCATCGGCTCAGGTCAACTGTCCCCTATAGCAGGTTCGGGGCCAGGCACACCCCGCCGAGCAGTCAGCGCATCCGCCGAACTCTTCCGCCGCAAACAAGGCGCCAAGGACTGGAATGCACGCAAACGCGTTTCAGACGACGTCTTCAATACGGCTCGCTCTACACGCGATGATCTTTTCATCGGTGCGCCGGGGTACCTGGGCAACGAGGCTGCATTTGTCGATGATGAGGCTGATATGCATGATTGGGATGTTGAAGGCGCTGCTGAGGGTCGGCGCGTGCAGATAACTTATACCGTTCCTCGGGAAAAGTTGCGCGTTGTTAATGCTACTGCCGGTGATATGGATGCTATCTCCGAGCAGTCCGTTAGTCATGCGACTGGGAATCGGAGGGTGAGCACTTAAGTTGGCCGGTGTGTATCTGTTTTGATTGACATTTTCTTCTTGTCTTGTACTTTCGCAACACTTTTGAATGATGATGATGATGACTACGAAGATGGTGGTTTGGTGTCTATTTCTCGTGAAGATACCAGTTGAAGGGCGCAGAAGAAGGGAGCTTGAGCTTGTACTCACGATGCTCTATTTGTGTCTTCAGGGATTCGATTGAGTTATGTCCATGTCCGTCTATGTCCATGCTGTTCTGATGATTATCTTCTAATCAGATTCAGATTCAGATTTAGTACAGACTGGCTTGATTACTCTTGACCCCTCGCATGGAGTTGAGTCGCGCATTTTGGGAGGGATTTTGCTGTTTTCTGTCGTTTTGATATCCACAGCGTGTTTTGATGTTGCGTTCTGACCCTGAACGACTGATGAATCCATGTCCCTGGCGCTTTGTTAGATTATTTCTTAGCTGAGCGAGTGAAAAATTGATTCTTGATTCTATTTCTTTTCGGTCGCCTATATCTATCGTATCTCTAAAAAGTATGTACAATCACGTCGCCCATGTGCACTGCAGTTTCTTGGGAAAATCTTACCCTCTTTAAACAGCTAACTCCCAACACTTTTTAGGCTATTTCTTTGGCTATTTTCTCGTGGGGTTCAAAATCCAATGCTGTGCAGTATAAAGTTTGTTGGGCAGAAAAATCTGCCCTCTGTTTAGACTTAGACTCAAGGGGTAAGATGTCTCCACTATAGATCTAGAGTGGGGCGCACAAATGAACTCATATCTGGATTTGATATTGGTGTATGGAGTACTGTATATCGGGTGGAACATTCAGAAGATCCCGGAATCTTGCTTTTGCGCGTAAACATGTTCTTGCAATTCCCGAAAACTAGTCAAACCGAAATCCGAGAAATATCTATCAAACTTCATAGCTCCATGAGACATCATATGAGACAAGACCCCCTATGACGTTGGTATAACTTTTCCTTTATATAATTGTTCATTTTCATTCCCCCTTAAGAAGAAGCAGCAGCCTTGGGGTCGCTGGCAGGCTTGGTGGGAATAGTGCTAGGAAGCTGCGGGAGCAGGTTCTTCGCGTTCTCACGAGCATACTGGGCCATGAGGGCATCAATGATAACAAGGGAAGACATAGCCTCGACGATGGGGACAGCACGGGGAGTAACGCAGGGGTCGTGACGACCCTTGGCCTCAAGGGTACCCTCCTCCAGACCGTAGGAGGCAGTAGTCTGAGCCTGGCCGATGGTGGCGGCAGGCTTGAAAGCAACGCGGAAGTAGATGTTGGCACCGTTGGAGATACCACCCTGGATACCGCCGGAGTTGTTGGTCTTGGTGGTTAGGCGGGGGCCGCCGGCAGAAGCCTGCGACACGACGAAGGGGTCGTTGTGGATGGAGCCGGGCACTTCGCAGCCGCCGAAGCCGGAGCCGATCTCGAAGCCCTTGGTGGCGGGGATGCTGAGCATGGCGTGGGCGAGCTTGGCTTCCAGCTTGTCGAAGCAGGGCTCGCCTAGGCCGACGGGAACGTTACGGATCACACATGTTACTGTTCCGCCGATGCTGTCGTGGTTATCGCGGTACTTCTCGATGACCTTGGTCATGCGCTCGGCAGCGCCTTCGTTCGGGCAGCGGGTGGGCGCGAACGAGTCCACAGTCTTGCGGTCAATTGTCTCGATCATCTTGAGGAACTCGGGGTTGGTGGAGGCGGAGGGGTGTTCGGGGGTAGGGGGGAAGAGGTGCTCGTTGCCGACGGAGGAGACGAAGGCGACGATTTCGACGTTATGCGACAGGCTGAGGTACTTCTCGGCGATGGCGCCGGCGGCGACACGGCCTGGGGATTGGTGTTAGTGGGGTGTATTGTATATAGTGTACGAGTCTGACATACCAATGGTCTCACGGGCACTGCTGCGACCACCGCCGCTGCTCGCCTTGACACCGTACTTCTCGAGGTAGGTGAAGTCGGCATGGCTGGGGCGGGGGAACAAGTCCATTGTGCTGCCGCCGTAGTCCTTGGGGCGCTGGTCCTCATTGCGGACCATCATGCCAATTGGTGTGCCTAGAGTGACACCGAACTCTGTGCCGGACTGGATCTCGACTCGGTCCTTCTCGTCCCGCGGGGTAGTGAGGGCGCTCTGACCGGGACGACGGCGGGTCATCTGGGGCTGGATGTCGGCCTCGGTGAGCTCCATGCCAGGAGGGCATCCATCGACAATACAGCCGACAGAGCGGCAGTGAGACTCGCCATAACTAACGGGGTATTAGCAACTGGTGATGTGATGTTCAGGGGATCGGAGACACCTACGTAGTGACACGGAAATGTTCACCCCACGTCGACATGATGGATGATTTGTGTTGGGAGAGGAAGAGGAGGATTAAAGTGAATAGGTAAATAAGTAAACAAAATGCCACAAAATAGGGAAAAGGAGTAAGTCGGAGGACTAGGAGGAGGAGCTGAGTGTCGATCGCAAAAAAAGCGAACACAAATCGACTCATCTTTCCGATCCGGGACTAGCGCAACCGACTATCGGCCTGGTGCTTCGGGTGATAAACACTCATCCACCGACATGTTTCTGCGCTCGCGGGTGAGTGGCCTCAAGTATGCCTGGGTTCGCCATAATTCCTCTGTCCCCGACCAATTCGCCGAGCTCGTCCGTCGTCCCTCTTCTCTGCATCAGATCTACCAATCACTATCGACTGACCCCTACGTGAACCTCTCCATCGAACACTTCCTCCTCGAGAATGCCCCGGCAGAATCAAGCATCCTGTTCCTCTACGCCAATCGACCCTGCGTAGTCATAGGTCGCAACCAGAACCCATGGCTCGAGACAGATCTCCGCGCCCTTCACAATGACCGCTGGAACGGCACGGCCGGGGACGAAGAAGCTGCAATTTTCGTACGTCGGCGATCGGGCGGTGGGGCCGTGTTCCATGATGCAGGAAATCTAAACTACAGCGTCATATCTCCACGTACATCCTTCACACGCGACAAGCATGCGGAGATGGTGGTGCGCGCACTCCATCGCGTCGGGGCCATCAATACCCGTGTCAATGGGCGACACGATATTGTCATGGCCCGAGCGGAAGGCATGGAAAATGATCCTAATGAGCCATTGGCACGCAAGATCTCTGGGTCGGCGTTCAAGCTGACTCGACACCGAGCTCTCCATCATGGGACTTGCCTGCTCGATTCCCCGAATATTCATGATCTGGGGCGGTATCTGCGATCGTCCGCGCGCGGGTACATCCAGGCCAAGGGTGTTGAAAGCGTTCGGTCTCCTGTTGGCAATGTGTCGGCTGCGTTTGCCGATTCGTTCTTTTCCATGCAAGGTGTGATTGAGAGTGTGATTGAGGAATTTGCTCGGTTATACGAGGTCCACCCTGATGCAGTAAGACGCGCGCAGCGTGCTCATGCTAATGACCCCGAGATTTTTGCTGGGGATGGCTGGGTTGCGGGTACAGTGAGTGAAGTGCAGGGCGAACAGGAGCCTGACATTAGCAAGGGAATTGCTGAATTGCGGGTGAGTATTTATGGGAATGAAATGAGACAGTTAAGTGTTAACAGTGGAATAGTCTTTGGATTGGAAGTATACCCAAACACCGCAATTCACTTTCTCGACATACCCCATCGAAGAGGACCCTCGCGAGCGGCCACCATTGCCCTCCTCGCTTCCTTCAAGTGTAAGTTTACAAGACAAGTCTTCGATTCAAATCTGACTCTCAGCTTAGACCCGCGCATTCCTCCGCCTAAAACATGGCGCAATCATTGAAAGCCACATCTCCGTCTCAGCTGACGAGAGCACCGCATCTGACCAAGCCAGTCGCATCCATACATTACTGGATGGACAAAAGTTACACGAAATGACTCTGGCGCGGTGGTCCGAGGTCCTTCAAGAGGGTCTTGGTGAGACAGAAGGGAAAGATGAGGCCCTAGTGAAAGAGCTATCTCGATTTCTGGGTGGACTATTGGGCGGTTAATCATTGCATGTATAGATATACCCATGTACATTACTCTAATACCATGTTCTATACAACCAAGCGCCAAGTGTTAACTATTCTGCCTCCATTGGTGGAATATAATTTCCCACTTATGAGATCGCCAGTTCTACATGCCTATAAAGATACTCGCCAACAGCATGCTGATCTCCCCGCATTACCCCGGCTAAATACATTCACCCCACGCCCCCCAAGATAGCCAGCTATGCACATCGACTGCCAATTGGAAGAATCGGCTTCCCTTGCGAAGACCAACTAGCCGGACCGGCACCCAAATTCTCGATCATATAGCGGGCATGACATCTGCCTCTTTCACATACAATAATCGGAGACTTACCCGACACCAGTCTCTATATAACTCCAGCCATCTAATTACCAAACCAATCTAGCACAATCGCAGTCAAAATGTCCATCAACGCCAACGCCCGAACCCCCACCCAACCCTTCACAAAATGCACCTTCAAAACAAGATCCGACCTCCAAGCCGCATGCCGCGCAATTCTAGACCCGCTACTCCCCCTCTTCACGCCAGGCGGCAGTCGAGTAAAAGTCGGCACATCGACAACACGCTTCGACGAAGGCGGCGCCCAGATCGAAGGGTATGCACGACCACTCTGGGGTCTGGCGTCGCTGCTTGGAGGTGGATGTGAATACCCCGGGGCGGAGCGCTGGCGTCAGGGTATAATCAATGGGACGGATCCTGAGAGCCCTGAATTCTGGGGCGAGATTGAGGATTTGGACCAGCGCATGGTTGAGATGTGTCCCATTGGGTTTGCGCTTGCTGTTGCGCCGGGGTTCTTTTGGGAGCCGTTGACTGAGATGCAACGGGGGAATATCGGGAGATGGTTGGCTAGTATTAATGCTAGGGAGATGCCGAATACGAATTGGTATGTGGTTTTCTTTTCTTTCTTTTCTTTTCTCTCCTTGGGGGTTTGAGGGAGAGACATGGCTGATGATATTCTTGTGCTTCTCTAGGTTGTGGTTTCGGGTCTTTGCAAACTTGGGATTGAGGAAGAATGGGGCCGAATACTCTCTTTCTCGCATTGAAGCTGATATGGATCATCTTGATTCCTTCCACGTCGGTGGGGGGTGGAGTAATGATGGGCCTAAGAGTCATCATCAAATGGATTATTACTCAGGTTCATTTGCCATTCAGTTCTTGCAGCTTCTTTACTCGAAGTTGGCTGGCGACTTTGATCCTGAGCGTGCTGAGCGCTATCGTCAGCGGGCAAGGGAGTTTGCAAAAGATTTCGTGTACTATTTTGATCCCAATGGTATGTTTACTGTGATCTCCTTCCCAATCATCAGACGCTAATCCAATCTTCTATCTAATAGGTAGCTCCATCCCCTTCGGTCGCTCAATGACATACCGCTTCGCCATGGTCGGGTTCTGGGGAGCCCTGGGCTTCGCAGATGTCGAGCTACCAGCACCATTAACTTGGGGCGTCGTGAGGGGAATCCTCCTCCGTCATTTCCGATGGTGGTCGACGCAAGAAGACATGTTCAACAACGACGGCACCCTAAGTCTCGGATACTCATATGCCAACATGTATCTGACAGAGAACTATAACTCCCCGGGATCGCCATACTGGTGCTGTCTGTCATTCATCCCACTGGCATTACCAGAGACACACCCGTTCTGGACCGCGGAAGAAGAACCATATCCCAGCGCCTCCCTTCTTGAAGTGGTAGCCCTAAAATATCCCAAACACATTGCGATCCGCCGTGGAGGACACTCCTTCCTGCTATCGTCTGGCCAGGCATGCCACTACCCTCTCAAAGCAACGCAGGCCAAGTATGGCAAGTTTGCATACAGTTCTGCATTTGGATACTCCGTTCCAACGGGGTCTTATCAGCTCGAGCAACACGCCCCAGACAGTATGCTGGCGCTATCCGAGGACGGCGGCGATATCTGGCAGACGAGAAGGCTGGCGCTGGATGCACGCTTTGAAGAACCTGAAGGAAATGGCCTACCAATACTCGTGTCTACCTGGAAACCATGGCCAGATGTCGAGGTTGAAACGATTCTCATTCCGCCGACTGTGGAAAATGAGAATTGGCATCTGCGCGCTCATCGCGTGCTCACTGGTCGGGCTTTGCAGACTTCTGAGGGCGCCTTTGCTATTTATGGATGTCGCAGTGATAATGGACGAATCCTGGGTCCTATGGTTGAGGGTGGTTCTGAGGGGACGACGCATGATGACCGGAGTAGTCTGGTGGTTTCATCGGCTGGGGCGGTAGGCATTGTTGAGTTACACTCGGATATTGGACGTGCTGGTCGGATTGTCCTGGCGGATCCAAATTCGAATATTATTCATGGGCGCACGCTTCTGCCATCGCTTGCAGTGGACTTGGCACCTGGCCAGGCCTGTTGGTTCGTGTCGGCAATCTGTGCTGTACCCGATCATCGGCGGGATTGGAAAGCGGCATGGGAGCAGAAGCCGACAATCCCAGGGTGGCTGAAGAAGCGGATGGAGAGTGGGTGAGCGTGCATATCCTTGTCACACTTTCAATAAAGTCGATTCGCTAGACAAGAGTGAACTCGTCGTAAGATTTCCCTATTGGGGGAGAGTCCAAATTAGCCCTAATTTTGGCTTTTCCCCGCAGTCCGGGGTAAGACTTAACTCTAACACTTTACACTCCTCTGTAACTTGCCGACTACTTTTTTCCTCTCTCGGCTAAACCACTTCGTTTATTAGCCAATACCTCTTCCCCGTGGGGGTACTTTAGCTCATACGACCCTAAGCTTTCCCCCACCCTATCTCCGCCTATCTGAGAGCTGCAAGCAGGTCTTGGACCTTACCCCCAGCTCCAAAGTACTCGAGACATGTGAACAGGTAGTATGCAAGCCGTGCCATTCTGTCTTCGTATTCGTGGATGTTTTTCTCCATGCTTCCTCGCCTTGTTTAGCGCCTTCCTTCTCGTCTCATAGGCTGCTCGGTAGTTAGCCAAGACTTTGGGCTTGGGATGACACCCTTCCATCGCAGTTCTTTCATATTTATATCAGTTGCCGACAGCATCGTGTTTTTAGTTGTGAGCTGTATTCCTGGGTTTGTCTTAAATTGATCGTTCCCCTGGATTCCTTGGGATTATACTATACCGACTTGATCTTGTTTGCTCTTCAAGATGTCGTGGCTTCTAAAGAAGGTTGTTCATAATGAGGCGATGAAAGAGGATCCTAAGGAGATTTATGGATGGAGGGTTTTCATGCTTGCTTGCTCGGTTAGTATGGCAATTCCTATATGGTGAGGTGCAATACTAACATTACGAAAGGCTTGTTGTGGAGGAATGCTCTTTGGTATGGACTCCGGTATCATTGGCGGCGTCCTTACCATGCCAGGATTCAAGAAGTAATTTTCTCTCTCTATCAAATCTCCGATCTAGCCTTCTAACCATATTTATTGCAGAACATACGGCTTGGAAAATACTTCCAAAGTTGCACAAGCAAATCTATCAGCCAACATCGTATCAACCCTCCAAGCAGGATGTTTCTTCGGCGCACTAGGCGCCTCCTGGGTAGCCGATAAATTCGGCCGAAAAAGAGCACTCATAGGCTCAGCGGTAGTGGCCATCCTCGGAATTGTCATGCAAACCGCAGCCAGTGGTCATCTCGAGGCCATGTACATCGGACGGTAAGATGCCTCGTCTTCACCCTACAACCCAGAAATCACTAGTCGTGCTCATACTAATACCTTCACACACCAGATTAATCACAGGCTTCGGAGTCGGCGCCGCATCAATGATCAACCCTCTCTACGTTTCCGAGAATGCCCCACGAGCAATCCGCGGCGGTCTGACAGGTCTATACCAGCTCTTCATTACAATGGGCATCATGCTCGCCTTCTGGATCAACTACGGCTCCCTTCTGCACATTAAAGGACCAGCAATGTACCTCGTTCCACTGGCAATGCAAGGCCTCCCAGCAGTGCTCCTGCTAATCGGCATGTCGCTGTGCAATGAATCCCCCCGCTGGCTGGCTAGACAAGACAGGTGGGAAGAAGCACGCGCAACACTCTGCAAAGTGCGCAACTTGCCTGCTGAGCACCCCTACCTAGAAGAAGAGTTCCAAGCCATTGCCACCCAACTTGAGCAGGAGCGCGCTCTTGTTGGTGGTTCTGGATTCTGGGATCTTATGAAGGAGATGTGGCTCATTCCTGGGAATAGGAAGCGTGCTATCATCTCTATTGTCTTGATGGTTTGCCAGCAGATGACTGGTACTAATGCTATCAACTACTATGCGCCTCAGATTTGTAAGATATCTCTTTCCTTCCCCTGACTTCTGAGTGAAAAGAGTGACAATCAAGCTAACTAACAACCTCTACAGTCAAGAACGTGAGCATCCCTATCCCTACCCTACTCTACCTACAAACCCCCTCCAAAAACCAAAGATCAAAAAAAAAATCTAACTCTAACCCCAGCTCGGCGTAACGGGCAACGCAACAAACCTCTTCGCAACAGGCGTCTACGGCATCGTGAAAATGATCAGCTGCGGCGTCTTCCTAGTCTTCGTAGCAGACTCCCTCGGCCGCCGCCGCTCCCTCCTCTGGACATCCATCGCACAAGGCCTAGCAATGCTCTACATCGGGCTTTATGTGCGCATTGCACCACCCGTCGAAGGCGCACCAGTCATCCCAGCCGGCTACGTGGCTCTCGTGTGCATTTTCCTGTTTGCGGCTTTCTTCCAGTTTGGTTGGGGGCCCGTTTGTTGGATTTACGTTTCTGAGATCCCGACCGCTCGGCTGCGGTCTTTGAATGTTGCTTTTGGGGCTGCTACGCAGTGGTTGTTTAATTTTGTTGTTGCTAGGGCTGTGCCTAACATGTTGGCTACTGTTGGGGATAATGGTTATGGGTGAGTTCTTTGGGTTTCGATTTGGGGTTCTTTGCTGACTTTTATGTGATTGCAGAACATATCTTATCTTTGCTTGCTTTTGTTTCTCCATGTGTGTCTTCGTTTGGTTCTTTATTCCAGAGACTAAAGGTTGGTTTGGATCTAATGGCTTGGTGGAGTGGATGGTCTTTGCTAACTGTTTTCTATAGGCATGTCCCTTGAGAAGATGGATGAGCTCTTTGGCGTCACTCAGCTCTTCGAAAATAAGACCGCCGACCCGGAGCGGGCTTCTGCTGCAGATGATGTAGGCAAATCAACGCAGACGCACGTTGAGAGAGTGGCTTAAGTAGTCACAAGCGATTCAGCCGAAAGGAACGAGTCAAGAATTAGTTTGAGATGTATAAGATTCAATCAATTTGTTTCTCCGAATAGTATTCATATTGGTCATCGTTATTTCATAGATATCATCAAAGTAACTCCGAAAAAGATATGTGCAGCAGTCCCACCAAGGGACGACTTGGTCTATCAATACATGACCGTAAAAAATGTTCGCCTGCGCTATGAAATCAATATATCCATCCGCTTAAATCGAGGCTTGATGACCAGAGATTAAAGGAAAATGAAAGAAGCCGGCGCTGTAAACAATACATGAGAGCAGAACAAAGCAAGACAAAGCAAAACAAAAATGAGAGATGCAAGAACGGATGGACGGATATAAAAGGAACATATTTTATCGAATGTAGTTGGGCTGAGACCGACCAAGTAGCCCATGCTGGGTCTGGCTCCGCGTCATACGTCGGGGAGCTGGGTTATCATCCAAGCTCAACCCGCCCATTCCTGATCCCAGTCCATTGCGCCGGGGCGAAAACATGGAGCTGTGACCCAAGCTGGGGTTGTGACCATACCGGATGTTCTGGTTGGTCATATTTGTCGCAGTGGTTGTGGCTGTAGCCACAGTCTCGCTGTCTGAATCTTGATCATAATCAGACGGAGGGTCGATTTGCTTCAACGACTCCATGGTAAAGCTATGGGGGTTTCGTTTCGGAATCTGAGCGGCAGAGAAAGAAGGGACAGTCTGAGATGAAGAAAGCCCATAGTTTGACATAGAAGGCAATGCCGACGAGAAACTAGAGGAAGGTTCGGTAGTGCAAAAGGAAAGCGGCGGCGCGGATGACTGTGATTCGAATGATCGATGCGTAGGCAACGGTGGACTGCTGACCCGAGACTCAGGTGAGGATACAGGTTGCGATCCATTTGAAGGCCAGTCGATGGCACCCGGCTGGTTCATTTGCGGTGTTCCCGACTGTGGCGACGCCGATTCCGATGGTGTATTTCCACTTTCCGTCATGGTCGCCGTGTAGAAAGAGCCTACACGCATAGCCTCCTGTATAGCCATAAACATCAAAAGAAGCTTGCCGTAGCGATCAAAGTAGTCTCGGTCAAAGGAGGCAGTCGGGAGATGGGCTCCCATATGGACGGCCGCAACAAGCTCCGTGATAGAAATCAGAATCTCCATGCCATTCCACTGCACAAGCGGCCTCTTGACCATGCTGATGAGAGCGAATCCAGCAACAAGACTCGCAACTCCCAGAGCAGCGATCTCCACGTAGTTTCCGGGAATAAACACCTGGTGGTTTTGAGAGAAGGTCCAGGCACTGATAAATCCCACCAACATACCCAGTCGCAGCCATCCATAGAATAGATGACTCGGTGTCTGAACGGAACTTGCAGAATTCTGTTGCGTTCCCTGGGACCACCCTGGTCCGGGAGCATCGGGCTGGAAATTGAAGGCCCTGTCAAACAGTGTTTCCAGTCCAGTAGACGTGTCAAGATCCCCTGGAGCGAAGAATTTGGGTGGCTTGAAGATTGGTTCAGCCTCATCTGACGGTTGCCGGCTGGGAGCTCGTGCTTGAGAAGGGCTGCGATGGAATGGGTTAGGTTGAACCACTTGTTCAATGGGCTTTGTTGAAGGTTGAGCGCGAAGCTTCCACGCCGGAGCCATTGGGGCTGCTGGAAGCTGCCCATGGAAGGGATGAGGGCCATTTAGCACAGAGGGCGCGCTCCGCTGGTTGATAGTTGGGCGCAGGTTATGTGTAGTAGACGGAGTCCAATCCATGCTATCTTTCTCCGCAACAGGGATAATCTCTCGCGGCTTCTCCACAGGTGGCTGAGGTGTAGCCAACTTTTCAATTGGGAAACGCTGACTGACTCCACCGTTCGCATTGAAGGCGTTACGATTGGTGGCTTGGGACGACAAGACAGGAGACTCAGGCAATTCAGAGGACGATTTGGCGCCTTGAAGTTGGGTTTCCCAGCTATTGTCGGACCAATTGACAAGTGGGCGACTAGAATATTGGACGATGTATCGAGAGTATGAAAGCGACTACTGAATCAGCGCGGAACACCAAAAAAATATCGGTCAAGGCACGTACCACAAGAGTGAAAACCATCATTAGACCATGCAAGGCCGGAGACATACTAGAATCCAAGCCACTAGCGGATGGGTCCTTGAGAACTGCCCAGAATACACACCGTACGACCAGAACAATGAGTTGGGCCTGATAGTACTCCGCAAGGCCCTTGAACTTGCCAGGCATCCCATCTATCTTCAGGCGCAACTTGGGATTCCACCAGAGTGAAAGAGCACCTGCGATCAATGCCACACCTGCAGCCGGTGCTAGATCAATCACACAGTCGCTGGGAATACGCCACATAGAAAGAGTCTGTTTGGTACACTGTGAAAAGGCGGGTGCCATGGACGGTTCGGTATAGATTGCCGAGCCATCGAGGCTCCCCGATGTCTGATAGAGGGTCATCGCACTGATCAAATCCCATGCAATTTGACCAGCAATACTTGCCCAGTATGCAAGCGCACCGGCATAAAGCAGCAAGCTCCTCCAGCTCCGGTTCCTGACCTGTCGTGCTTCACGGTTCGCGCGGCTCTGATCCATCATGCGTCTGAGATGATCTGACTTGGCTTCGTATCCCGCTCTTCGAATGCGGCTTCTCACACGAGGCTCACAGGACTCGCAAATCTGGGGATAACGGTCCTCGAGGCGTTTGCGAAAGTCTGCATAGCCACGTTCGTACTCAGCGTCTGTGGGATCGTCGGACGGAGGAAAGTATGACGCCAATGAGCTCGTAAATAGGTGTTGGTTGCGAGTACACTTTGAACAGAATAACGGAGGCTCTTTGAGATCGGCGGCTTCGGAGGGTTGACTTGATGCGCCGGGCACATAACCCTCGGCGTTAGTGACAGCAGCTGGCGGATCCGTGATTTCTCCTTTCTATATTCATTCAAGAACGGTGTTTAGCATTGATCGAGCAAATTTGGAGGCTAGACAAGGAACTAACCTCATCGAGAAAGTTGTCGGCCTCACAGTGTTCACAGCGGAAATTGCGAACAGGCCACTGAGAAGCAGACCGCCGCCCACAGTAAAAGCAGGTCAGACGTTTAGTGAATAAAGAAGACATGACATAGTCTGGAAGGGAACGCGAAGTGTGAATGTAAACAAGGGAGGGAGTTGAGATGCCAAAGGGCCTAAGAAAATCAACGGTCGAGCTTGCACGTGCGGGGGAACGTGTACCGCGACTCCAACTTGGCCCATTCAGTCATTTCTGCTCTGTTGTCTTCATACATCAATGGGCCATTGTCGCATGTCGCATTACCTATTGTCGCTCTCTTTGGTCTTCATGCCGCTTATTGTCCGATGATGCATTAACCTCAAGCTTTCGAGCTAGCAGTCCTTACAATAACGAAGATGCATTTCTCTCTTGCATCTGTGTCCTTCTGGGATCTGGCCCTGTGGTTGTCTGTCACAATAGCTGTACTTGGCGTTGTCATTGGTCTCGTGAGTATTCTTCATTAACGCTATCACATTGGTCTAACCTTCTACTCTTAGGTCATATTCCTTTCTCTGGAAATCGCCCACAATAGCCCTGTCCACAAATGCCGCCCAAAAGACTCGCCTGTCCACCTCTTAGTTGTCCTTGGAAGCGGTGGTCATACAGCTGAAATGTTCTACATGCTCTCGCGCATGGATATGAAGAGATACACATATCGGACTTACGTCGTGAGCTCCGGAGATAACTTCAGCGCTGGCAAGGCCAAGGAATTTGAGACGGAGAGAGCTTGTTCGGATAACAACTACAACATTGTGACAGTACCTCGTGCCCGAAGAGTTCATCAATCATACCTGACGGCACCTATTACTACACTCCAATGCTTCTGGGCTTGTCTTACTATTCTCTGTGGGCTTCATCCAGACCAGCAACTCCCCGAACAATACGGCTCTCCTTACCCAGACTTGATTTTGACAAACGGCCCAGCTACAGCTGTTTGTGTAATCCTAGCTGCGAAACTCGTCCGCTTTTTGCAGTGCGTGTTTGGCTTCAACTTCTTATTGCGAAGCTCCACAACACCACCCGTGTCCAACCTGCGCACCATTTATGTTGAATCTTGGGCTCGGGTCACGAAATTGAGTACCTCTGGCGTCCTACTATTGCCACTAGCTGACTCGTTTCTGGTTCAATGGCCAGCTTTAGCAGGGCGGCGAGCCTGGTGGGGAATGAAGAGAACTAGATACGCAGGGTGGCTTGTGATCTAGGGTTCAGCTTCATTGCCTTTTTGCCTCTGTTGTATCTAAATTAATCTCTTTAAATGCAAAGGCTTCTATGAACAATTATGCTTATTATATGAACTGTATAAGAAACGGGACCGAGTTCCGCAACGGTTTTCTCTCCACATACCGAATGTGGAGGAGGAATTGTACACTGTTTATACGAGTCTACGATTCTTGATCACGTGCTAATGTATAAACTTTTAGCTACAATAGAGAGTGTTTTATGTGTAAGAATGGAGAAGTATGTATTGAGCACTGTAGCAGATCAGCATTTATGTCCGAAGTTGAAATAGAGTCGATTGATAGAAACCGAACCTTGAATGATGTCTTCCAGAGTGCGCCGCGCATAGATTTCTGCTGTTTCGTAAGCGTCGTCGTAATCAAGTTCATAGCCAGGGCCCTTGATGACTGGGAACGATACATACCATGCGTAACCGCGATGATGGTTGTAGTCCGTTACCATGGCTTCCCTTTGCTGAATCATGTTGATCGCCATTTCTATTAATTCTTCGTCACTTAGAAAGCTGTCGAATTCGTCAAACTGTACAGTAACATAGTGAATCATTGCGCCTAGATTAGTTAGACGAAAGTCTTCTGGGCAAACCTGTCCGTCGCGGATAAACATGCCTCTTTGGCTCCACTGGTTCGGGGCCATTTCAATCATGTCGCTATAACTCATGGTGATGGTTTGGTTTGCAATTAGAAGATATTGGGGATCTTGTGGCTGTTGCTGTAAAGCACTAGTTCGCTGCGTGTCGATGAGATATCGATACAGGACACTCAGATTGGTTAAATACTTTGAGAATTTGAGAATGCATGCTAGTGTTATTTCAAAAATAGGACAGCTCGAATACCCTATGAACAAAGGTCTTTGCTACAATCGCATTGTGATTCAATTTTGAAGGCTATAACGAGGACAAAGAGAACTGACTATAGATACTTTGATTCTTTCTATTTCAAAGACATGAAAGAGCCCAATATAGTATCAAAAGTCCGATGGCCTTGAACAAGGAAGGAAGAATAAACAGGGATTCAAGCATGGAGTTACTCCCTTCTCCAACTATAGACGCAACCTGGTATAGAACTGTTTATAGCATACTTCAGGGGCTATATCGGCAAGACTACAATAGCCCAGAGATATAATCAACCGTCGGCGAATATCATCAAGCATTAGAAAACAGCCTGGCCTGGATCTGCGGGCCACTCGCAATGAAGTCCGCCATAGTTGTTGCCCCGCATCGGCGCATCGGAGTATCCGACGCATCTGTTCCCTCGGCATTTTCTCTCTTTATCTTCTGTTTCTGACTCTTAAAATAATCTCCAAGCCCAATTGTCCAATTTCTTCTAGACTAACTACGCCGCCATGCCATACTCTCTATCAGGTCGCAATGTTTTGATCACCGGGGGCTCACGGTATGACCCCGACCTTTGTTTCTTACAAACCTACCATGCTGTGTTTAATACCAGAGCTAACACACGATTGAACAGGGGACTAGGTGCTCTTACAGCTGAAAAGTTTGCCGCCGAAGGAAGCAACGTTGCTATCAATTACATGTCCAACAAGGAGGCTGCGGATAAATTGGCCGCGGATATTGCAGGCAAGCACAATGTGAAGACTGTTGTTGTTCAAGGTGTATGGCTTTCAATCCCACACATGACTCTCAATCCATGGAGACACAAGCCGCTGACATGGCCGTAAATCGGGAATAGGACGCCGGTATCAAGGATGACTGCTTCAATGTCGTTAAGACCACGATTGAGAAGCTGGGTGGCTTGGACATTATCATCTCGAATGCCGTTGGTCATACTTTCAATTGAGAAGAAGGATAATGAAAGCTAATTCGAGAAGGGATGGACCAAAATGACCAACTTCGGCGATCTTGATGCCATGGACGAAGATGATTGGGATAAGGTAAATGACCGAACACTCATAATGGAACACTGGGGCTAATTATTGAAACAGTGCTGGTCCGTTAACGTGAAGAGCAACTTCCACCTGTTTAAGGCGGCTTTGCCCACTTTCAATGCGAACCCTGAAGGTGGCGCTTTCCTCATCACGTCTTCGATTGCTGTACGTCGCCGAAACCATGCTATATGACCCCGATCAACTCGTGGAACTATGAGTGTTGACTGGAATTTTTAGGGTCTCACGGCAACGGGCAGTAGCTTGCCTTATGCTGTGACCAAAGCGGCTAGTATGTCATGTTCAACTGTATAGTAGACAACACTGACAAAATCATCTAGCCCTCCATCTTATGAAGTGCCTTGCCAAAACCCAAGGCTCCAAAGTTCGCATCAACGCCGTGCTGCCCGGTCTTTTGCTCACTGAATGGGTAAGTGATATTTGGTTTCGTTGTGTCTGGATAAGAAGCTCACGGCATTGCAGGGCCAACGTTTCCCTCAAGAGAAGATCGAGGCCTGGACAAAGGCCACGACTCTCAAAAAAGTAGTAAGTAATCCAGATATCCCAAAAGGCCGCTTGCATGCTAATGAAACGCTGTATAGCCGGAGGTGGAAGATTGTGCAGATATGTTTATCACACTGGCGAAAAACACATCCATGACTGGACAGGCACTCACGATTGGTATGGCTCCAAATATCACCAGTCAAGCTCAAGCTGACATGTCTAGATTCCGGGTTCTCACCATGAGCGTGAAGAAGAGTATCACATCACATTGGATAGATCAAGAAATATAGTACACACAATGGTTCCATACTCATACAAGGGAGTTACGGAAGGGAGTAAACTCCGCGCCGTCGTAGTGGAATGCTTGATCACCGAACATGCGAGCTTTAATGGCAGCCCGTAGTCCCTCAGCATCTTGCTCGCCTTCAACTTTCATGCGATTGATGCGCATCAACTTTCCATCTTTAGTAAAAACGTAGAGCTCCCGTCCTTTCTTTGGTTGGACTGGATAAGGGGCATTCGTGAATGGCAGACCAGGCATGATCGAAAACGAGTTGCATCCTTGAGGCGAATCGACCTCTTCGATATCTGTAAGGATCAACCGTTTCTGTTGGAATGATGGGGGCGAGCCTTCAGCGTTAGTTGCGGAGAGGGCTGTGCTCCAAAGAGGCCCGATTATCCGGCTGCGTCTGTTGATATCCGCCAGTGTCCAGTTCGCCCAGTTAATGCGCCGGTCCTGTGGTGTGATTTTGGTTGCATGTATCAACTCGCCAGTAGCTTCAGCGGCGCGCCATCCAGCGTCGACGACTGGGGGTACATATAAGCCCTTTTCGATACCATTGACAAGTAACTCCGCTCCTTTCGGTGCAACGAGCCCCAACAACTCGGGAACAGTACAAGAGTCCGGGTTGGGGATGTCAAATCCAGGAGCCGGGGTTTGGGATAGCACTACTCCGTGATCGAAGTTCTTGAGGTGTAAGGTCTGAAGTGTCACGCCGGTGGTGGTCTGACCGGATAGGAGAGTATGGTGTAGTGGCGCGGGACCACGGAAGCTGATTGATCTAGTCAATTTTCAAATTTCGCAGTCTTGAGCTGATAATAATCACATACTCTGGGAGTAATGATGGGTGTACATTCAGCCCTCCATATTTAGCACCGTTCAATATGCGCGACGGAACAAAAAGGCCAAAGGAGACTGCAATGACCAAGTTTATAGGTCCGTCTGAGAAGGTTGGCGGCTAAAACGGTCAGCGAGAGCTTTATGCAGGCCAGGTGCCCGTAATACCTTCCACCCAGTAAATGTGTCAATCTCATGAACCGGAAGAGAGAGAGCAGTTGCGGCCGCTTTGATCGGTACTATAGGAAATATCGAATCAAAAACCAGGTCACATAGTTCACTTGGATAGCGACTTACCTTCTCGAACCTGCTTCAAACCTCGCCCAACCCTTTTCCCAGGTCGACAGACCACATCGATCGAGGAGATCCGTTCTGGTTGCTTCAATTGGTAGGCGCGGAGAGCGTTCAGGGAGGCGATGCTGAAGTCATCGGAGCCGCAAAAGAGAATGCGGAGAGGATCGGAGGTTTTCGTAGTGTAGGACCTAAATACAAGCCCTCTGAGGACCGAGGGTCGTTTGCAGAGACGCAAGCTCCCTGAAGCCGGTATAGTCCACATAATGCTTCGGCACTCTCGAGTAAGAAGTCGCAAAAGTTGAAGCTCCAACGTATGATCTTATCGATAAGACACGTGATGTCAATACCCCAGATCCCACTTCGAAGTCACTTGTTCCGCAGTCATCCTGTAATTATTTGTGATCGCTCTCTAGCGTGAGCTGCAGAAGCCGCGAGATGCGATGCCTGAAAACGATCATGACTCGGTGATCCCGGCCCAGCTCGCCTACCTTGCCATCTACAACCCGAACCTCGGACCAACCGACGAGACGATAGCAGATCAGATCGTGTTCTACACCTCGAAGTCAAGCCATGCACGACGGCTCGATAACTCTACAACAGAGGAGGATGATAAGAAAGGGGTTGAGGACGAAAAGAATGAGAAATTGCGCCAGATAGGTCTGGCGCAGGGCATGGTGAACTTTGCTAGGTGGGCATCTCCGCAACTCTGCGAGTGAACAAGTCTAATCGCTTTTCATGCGCAGTAACTTTTCAGATGGAAAGGCACTGGAATATATTGAGACAGACAAATCCCGTGTTATTCTGCTGGAGCTGGAGAAGGACTGGTGGATTATTGCCGTGAGTAACTGAAATCCAAACCGTGCGGATCTTGAAGCTCACGTTAAGCCAGTCTATCGATTTTACTCGACTTCCCGCTGATCCAGCTCATAAATCTTCTTCGGGGGCATCTGATTCCCCGGCTTTCCAATATTCATCACGAGAAATCGGACCGCCTCATCTACTTGTCCAGCAATTGCGCCGCGCCCATTCGATATTCCTTCTACACCATGACTTCACGTTGGACAACTTGTACAAACAAGCTGGTAGAGCTTCGTTTTGCCTCTTTCTTGAACGGTTTTGGGACAAGTTTGCATGGAACTGGGAACTTCTGTTGACCGGAAACCCAATCGTCGAGATGTATAACGGGATCAAACTCTCTGCTGGAGGAGAGTTGGGTATTGGAGTTGGGGAAGAAGAATGGGGAAGCGGAGAAAGAGAAGTACTCGAAGACTTTGTTACCAGAACAGAGGGCTTGGTGGACTTGGTTGTCTCCAGATTTGGCGACTCGCCTGTACAATTCAATGGGTCTCCGGCTTCGACCAGGTCAAATGACCAAGGACTATGGCTTGGCGCAGACAATGACCCTCGACCATCCGATGGCGTTATATTCGCTGGTGTCGGTGGTCTTTCCAGACTCTCGCTGGCACAGGTGTCACAGTGGATGGAGTGGATCTATCGATTTGGGGATACTACGTATGGAGTTGGGCGGGACCCAACTTCGCTGCGTCGCCGCAAGCCAAAAAAGCAGCGCGGGAGGCCACCTCCAGAGAACCAGCCCTCTACACCGGATCGCAGCTTTACGCCGGGTATACCTCGTCCGCTTATAATGGCAGCACCGCAGCCACTTCAAGAGGTACCCGAAGGGAACGAGGCGGAAGTGGAAATTGGCAAGAATGAGAATCCAGGGTTTCCCACGGAAACGGTCATGAAATACCTCACACTTGGATATGGTTCTGCCTGGAGTTTCTCCCCAAAATCAGCAACATCTACGCCTCCTCGCAGCTCTACTCCTGCGCAGGATGGAGCCACTTCGAGCACCTCAACCCCGAAGGACCATTCCAGTGCCAACCCATCTCAGGCTGATGTGAAACCTCGAAGCAATCCTTCTGGCCGTTTTGTCCTGGGACCTCGAGATGATCTAGAGACATTGGATGACCTGGAAGAAGGAAGTCCTGTTTCAGAAACCGAAAATGGCAAGCCCAAAACTCGAATAGTACAGAGAACTCTGCACGTACATCTGGCAAATGGATCAGATACGACCCAAAAGAAGCTTCAAGCCGTGATCTACGTGGTAAGTGTTCCAACACCAGAATCATTGCAGTTCACTAACATATCGCATTAGAACCAACCATTCCTGTTCACATTCCTCTTCGACCCTGAAACCCAATCTCTCTCATCCCCATCTCTCTACTCAAGCATGCACCACCAACTAGGTCCCCTCCAAAAGCCACTCCTGTCATCAACATCCCCAAAAATGGCAGCCTCCCGCATCTCCATGTCAGAGACCTCTCCAGATCCAAGCAAACACTTCTCGACAAGATCCCAACCAGTCTACGATCTGGTCTACGATCCATCAAACCTGACAATCCGCTCGTCAATCCCAAACATCCCAGCCCTAAATATCCCCCAGTCCCCCCAACAACCCC